GGAAGAAACCCCCCCCTCCCCCAAATCGGTCTCCTGGCACATCATTTCCTTGTGCTAAGAGAATGCAAGGAGGAACTTAATGGTGGCCAGGTGAGTTTTTTTAAACTTGGCTGGGCAACATACCAGGACTTGAACACCTCCCTCTCAGCGACAATAAACGTGACTTTGGACGCAGCACAAGAATCATCTACCAAGTGCTCATCTCAACATAAATGGAAGTGCTTTACCACTTTCTTGAAGCAACAAGGGGATGACCCACTCACTGCTCCTATGGTGCTTTTTTTTTTTTTTTGGTTTTTCTTGTTTCACTTTTGGATGCGAACCTTTCTCTGTCGTCACTTAGATGTTACCTTGCCGCTATTTTCTTTTACAGAAAGAAAGCTGAACTCCCCTCTTACTTTGCTTATCCTTTGGTGAACCTTTTTCTCCAGGGGTATAGAAATCTTAGATGCCAGTCGCACCGCTGGTTTCATCCTGGAATTTGGAAATAGTTCTTTCAGGGTTGAATAGGTCTCCCTTGAGCCCCTTGCAACCACTGTTATGTATCCTGGAAAATGGCCTTACCAGTAGTAATCAGATCAGCATGCAGGTCTAGTGACTTATGCGCTCTATGAGCAGATGATCCTTACCTCTGTTTCCACAAGGATAAAGTTGTCTTGCTTTTCTTCCAAAGGTGGCACCTTCTTTTCATATGTCGAAGGACATAGTTTTGCTGGCTTTCTTTCAGAAACCAATAACACTGCTACAACGTTCATTAACACCTTCTTGATGTGCGCAGAGCTCTGTCCTTGTACATTTAGAGGACAGCTGGCATAAGAAAGTCACCCAAGCTATTTCTGACATACCAAGAAGATACTAAGGGCCTTCCTGTTTCTTCCCAAAGACTATCCTCATGGTTTTTTAAACAAGCCTTTGACTGTGTCTAGTGATTATGGCCCCAATAATGATGTTGCTTTTTGTTTATGTTTTGGTTTTATTTTGCTGTAATATGTTGTTCGGGCTTGGCCCCATGTAAGCCACTCCGAGTCCCCATTGGGGAGATGGTGGCGGGGTATAAATAAAGATTATTATTATTATTATGAATGACTAGATTTAAGGACTAAGTGATATGCTTCACTTCTGAACTTTATGGGGATTAATGTTGTATGCAGCTGCTATTTTCGTAGCCTGCTGGGTTTTATAGTATTTCTTAAATTAATAGGGGTTTTATTTCTGTTTTAAGTAAAATTGGGTTACTGGGTTGTTGTAGGTTTTCCGGGCTATATGGCCATGTTCTAGAGGCATTTTCTCCTGACGTTTCACCTGCATCCATGACAAGCATCCTCAGAGGTAGTGAGGTCTGTTGGAAGTAGGAAAATGGGTTTATATATCTGTGGAAAGACTAGGGACCTACTTCCAACAGACCTCACTACCTTAGCCTGAAGAAGAGAAGGCTGAGAGGAGATATGATAGCCATGTATAAATATGTGAGAAGAAGCCACAGGGAGGAGGGAGCAAGCTTGTTTTCTGCTTCCTTGGAGACTAGGACGCGGAACAATGGCTTCAAACTACAAGAAGGAGATTCCATCTGAACATGAGGAAGAACTTCCTGACTGTGAGAGCTGTTCAGCAGTGGAACTCTGTGCCCCGGAGTGTGGTGGAGGCTCCTTCTTTGGAAGCTTTTAAACAGAGGCTGGATGGCCATTTGTCAGGGGTGATTTGAATGCAATATTCCTGCTTCTTGGCAGGGAGTTGGACTGGATGGCCCATGAGGTCTCTTCCAATTCTTTGATTCTATGATTCTATACCTCTGAGATGCTTGCCATAGATGCAGGCGAAACGTCAGGAGAAAATGCCTCTAGAACATGGCCATATAGCCTGGAAAACCTACAACAACCCAGTGATTCCAGCCATGAAAACCTTTGACAATACAAAAATTGGGTTAATTTTATTGCTATCAATGTTTATCTTTCTGTATTTTGTTGTATTTGTATATTGTTTCACTACTGAGTGCTTTCTGTGAGCTGCCTTGAGTCCCTTCGGAGAGATGGTGGTGGGATACAAATAAAGCATTGTTGTCGTCGTCATCATCCTGGACCTTTGGATGCAGGACCCCAAAAGGTTCGGGATGGCAAATGGGGACTGGGACTTCCTGATAGTGATTCCCCACAGGCCCAATACCCTACTAGACTGGGCCCTTCAGGAAGGCCCGGATCTATTGGGGTATTTAATTAATTTGGAATAACCAAGGTTATTCTAAATTAATTTGTTTTTATCGGGGGCATCCAAATGTTTGGACACCCTCAGTAAAAACCTAGACTGGTCCCACATTTTGGACTTGTCTGGATGGACCCTCAGATTGCCACACTAGAAAAGATACTAAGGAAGAAGGTAGTAGAAAAAGAGAAAGATTGCATTCCAGATTGTTGGCTCTAACATGCTGTATTCTAATTCATTTAAAAGGGGAAATACAAAAAGAAAAGGAATATGCAAGGAAATACAAAAGGAAATGTCAGAGGAAAAGGTTAGTACAGAAGCAAGTCCTTCTAAGAGATCATCAAGATTAGAAATGCTGGACCTGTGAGGAGGAAGAGCTGCTTCTAAAATCATCCTTTCCTAGGTTGCTTCCTGGAAACCGTGTTTAAAGAATGAGACAGAAAATTGCAATGGGGGTGGGGAGGAGAAGCTTCATAATGGCTTTGTGTGTGAGACACGAGCCTGGCATCATTCCCAGGAGCCTCTGAGCCACTTATGTGCCTCAGCTTTGCATTTCAGCAAATGTAGCATCCGAAAGAGCTTTGAGCTTTGGCTTCCTTCCACTCAAATCAACAGACCACTTTTCTTCTGCTGCAAATGGGAGCACGGTTCAAGATATTTAATTATGAGAAGCAGAGCTCTCAGAGTAAGGAGCTGCATACTTGCTAATTAAACATAGGTTTTTAAAAGGTAAAACTTGACAGTTTTTCTGTCAGTATATTAAAAGGACACACGAAGAAACTCAAATTAAACTATTACGCAAAGGCAGAGACCCTTAACGTTTCCATATTTAATTTACTTTATCCTGATGTAGGGTCTATTTGTAAAAATAGGTGTGCAATAACTACTACATTTGCAGCAGCCTTTTTTTTTGAGCCCCCGGTGGCACAGTGGGTTAAAGCCCTGTGCCGGCAGGACTGAAGACCGACAGGTCGCAGGTTCGAATCTGGGGAGAGGCGGATGAGCTCCCTCTACCAGCTCCAGCTCCTCATGCGGGGACATGAGAGAAGCCTCCCACAAGGATGATAAAACATCAAATCATCCAGGCATCCCCTGGGCAACGTCCTTGCAGACGGCCAATTCTCTCAGACCAGAAGCGACTTGCAGTTTCTCAAGTCGCTCCTGACACGACAAAAAAAAATCAGCCTTTTCCTCCTCTGGTAACCTCAGAAACTACACCCAGCTGCTTCGGTTTCTTCAAAACCAGACTCATGAAGAGTTTGTGCTTTGTTTCATGCAAATCCAGACTTCTAGGAAGTTCTCGTGAGTGTGATTTTGTATTAAAACATGGCATACAGGTTGGATCTACACTGCCCTATAATCCAGTTTCAGAATACAGATTAATTGTATTGAACTGGATTATAGGACAGTGTAGACTGGCATAGTCCACTGCATTTAATCCTGTTGGGGAATCTGAGCTGTTAGGCTCAAAATAACCCTCAGTTGGGGTGATTCCAGGGACGGCTCAACCCATTACGCAAAGTAAGCATTTGTAGTATAGTTGATTTTGCCCAGGGGAGCTCTTGAGGCGCTCTTGGGGGAAAATAGACCTTGACATATGCGAGTTGTAGTTACTGGGATGTATAGTTCACCTACAATCAAAGAGCATTCTGAACTCCACCAATGATGGAATTGAACCAAATATGGCACACAGAACTCCCCGATGAACAGAAAATATATATCAGTGATTGGTTTGGGGGGGGGGGGGCAAAATACTGTTTGTTTACCGTTAAAAATTACCTAGGGCCGCCTCTGATTCCACCATAAATATAGCAGAGTACAGAAGTAAACTTCATAACCAGCAGAAACTTACATGTGATGAGCTGGGATAAGCTTCTATTTCTTAGGATGGATCAGGATTGCAGATAGAAAACTTTAGGTTCAAAAATATTTATTGAAGTAAAAGAAATACATGCTTGATAGAAAAGGTCTTGGAGCTAACTAGATTACTAAATCTCATTTTCTAAAGAAGTAAAAAAGATTAAAAAGTCAAAAATCAATGCAGCTACATTTTGCCTAAAGAGAGAGGCAAAATACGTCCTCACTGGAAGGAAGAAAAGGCAGAAGAGACTGGAAAATGGCAAATGGCCACATGGCTAAACCCAGGGTAATAAAACTTAAATGAGGAAGTTCCCTCACAAAATTCCTACATATTCAAAAGGGGAGGAGACAGTGGCTAGCAGGAGGAGGAAAGACAAACATACATGGGAAACATACATGGTAAAGTGGGGAAAGGAAAACCTCAGCTTAATCCTATCTCTAGTTTATCTACTCACCGAGGGCTGGACACTTGCTGACACAAGAGACTTGTTCTGTCCTGAGATGAAACCCAACAAATCTACATTCTGAAACTGGATTATAGGGCAGTGTGGATCCAGCCGGTGCATATTGCAGTAATAATTCTGGTGCTGTCCAGGCATGTAGCCGGGGGGAGGGGGGGCTTGGGGGCTTTAGCCCCCCCCCCCGAAATTCTCAGGGTGGTCCATGAGAAGGACCTTACTGGTACATTATTTAAACTGTTATGTTTATTCATATCATGTTCTGATCACCATGCTCAATATATCCCATATGCATGGGGGTATTGGGGTAACGATACAAAAGGTTTGCTAGGGTAGACCCTCTTTCACTCAGACTCGCCCCCCCCCCCCGAATCAAACTCAGCTCCCCCCGAAACAAAATCCTGGCTACGGGCCTGTGCTGACAGAGAGAAGGCTGTGGGAACAGTCAAATCAGGAAGTACATACGGCCTATGGGTTTACAAATATTTTTCCCCTACTCCCATTTCTGTTCTGGAATACATAAGATCCCAATGTGGGTGATGAAGAGGCAATAAGACTGGTAGAGGGAAGCCACAGAAGCTAGCTGAATATGAATGCATGGGACAAATATTCTGGTTAACTGTTCGTTGAGAGAAAATTATAAGGCACAGTGGATAGTTGCACACTTGATCCACAACTGAAGTCTTTGAGGCATACTTTCTCTTTAATGGCTCCATTCAGGAAGCAGGTAACTTCACAGTATTGCACTTGGAGGAAGTTGTTCAACCAAATTCTCCTTTCTGTGTCTCCAAGTGACTAGGCCCACTCGAATGCTAAATATGACACAGGTCACTATCAGCAGCACAACTACAGAGGGGGAAAAAAGAAAACAGCTTGTGTTTAATAATAAGAATAATAATAAGAATAATAATAATAAGAAGAATGAAAAGTGGACGACAGATCCCAAATGTAGACTCTGCAAGGAAGCAGATGAAACAATAGATCATATCCTCAGCTGCTGCAAGAAGATTGCGCAGACAGACTACAAGCAGAGGCATAACACCGTTGCTCAGATGATTCATTGGAACTTGTGCCAAATACCATCTGCCTGTGACAAAGAACTGGTGGAATCAAAAGCTGGAAAAAGTGAGAATGAACACGTCAAGCTACTCTGGGACTTCTGAATTCAGACAGACAGAGTTTTGCAGCATAATACTCCTGACCTCACTTTGTTAAAAAACCAAGTATGGATTGTCGATTTGCAATCCCAGGTGACAGCAGGATTGAAGAGAAACAACTGGAAAAGCTGACACAATATGAGGATTTAAAGATCGAACGGCAAAGACTCTGGCACAAGCCAGTCAAGGTGGTCCCAGTGGTGATCGGCACACTGGGTGCAGTGCCTAAAGACCTTGGCCTGCACTTAAACACAATCGAACGCTGACAAAATTACCACCTGACAGCTGCAGAAGGCCACCTTACTGGGATCTGCACGCATTATTCGGAGATACATCACACAGTCCTAGACACTTGGGAAGTGTCCGACGTGTGATCCAATACAATAGCCAGCAGAGTGATCTTGTTTGCTGTGGACTCGTCTTGTTGTGTTTCAAATAATAATAATAATTATTTGTATAATAATAATAATAATAATAATAATAATAATAATAATAATCTTTATTTATATTCTGCCCTCTCTCTGAGGAGACTCAGGGTGGATTACTAAGTGAGAGAGGGAGAGAGAGAAAGAAAGAAAGAAAGAGTAGTTCTCAATGTAGCTGAGATATTACCACGGCTTTATTGCAAGGCAGATATAAAATAAATTACTTGTAAAGTTACTTCTAATAACCTTAAGTGAAACTGATCCAGAAAATCATGCTGGCTTCAGATCTGAGTGGGTTTCTGCCAAAGTGATCCCTTCCCATGATGCTTCTTCTATATCTGTAGAGATAAAGGTCTAAAGAAAAAATGCCAGCCTCTTTAGAAACCCATAGCAGCCATCCTATCAATTTCAAGCATCCTTCAGGAGCATAGACTGGAAATCCCATGCGTATTATTCTTATCTACCAGAGCCATCACTTTTTACTTTCCAAGGTTTTTTTTTTACCACTATGCAATGAAAGGACATACAATAGGGTACTCTCTGCCCAACATCAAGGGGTTGGAAGAAAACTCACCCGTGATAATGTTGCTTGCATTTGGAGAGAAATCCATACTATTTTTCTGCAAGGTACCACATAATGCTAAAATGACCACTGGGTAGACAATGAGGTTATAGCGCACGTACTTATCAAATAAGAAGTTCTCCAGATAAAACCTGGTGGCACAAAAAATTGAGAATCACATAAGGCACCGTCTTTTTATTTCTGTACTCTGATTCGTAAAGGATCAGAATGAAAACTGCACATGAACTCTACTGATGTGTTCTTCTCCCTCACAACTAGTCACATATGGGGAGAAAGCAAGGAAACGTCTGATCCATTCTCCTCAATCATTCCCTGCCCTTGTTCCTCTATCCATGTTTTTTTTTTAATGTAAAGAGGAGCCCACTTTATACCTGTAGGATCCAAAACCCTGATCGGGTTCTATGTAAGGTGCCAGGAGTTGTTGTCGTTTATTCAGTCAGTTGCTTCCGACTCTTTGTGACCTCATGGACCAGCCCACGCCAGAGCTCCCTGTTGGCCGTCACCACCCCCAGCTCCTTCAGAGTCAAGCCAGTCACTTCAAGGATACCATCCATCCATCTCATCCATTCATCTTGCCCTTGGTCAGCCCCTCTTCCTTTTTCCTTCCATTTTCCCGAGCATAATTGTCTTCTCCAAGCTTTCCTGTCTTCTCATGATGTGGCCAAAGTACTTCATCTTTGCCTCTAATATCCTTCCCTCCAATGAGCAGTCAGGCTTTATTTCCTGAAGTGTCAGGAGAGGGCAATCCAATGTGCATGAAGTCATAGGAAAGTAATCATGCTAGACCTATTTTTGTGTCACTGTGCTTTCTATGGGCCCATCCAGACAGAACCTTTATTCCAGGAGCTTCTGCAGCAAACAGGAGGGTGGCCGGATGCCGTTCTCTGTAAAAGCGGAAGCAATCACTTCAAAAGGCAAACAAATGCAAGATTTCCAGGTGCAGGAATATTGCAGTTTTGAGCCGAATATGCGGATTTTTGCATGTCTGTATGTCCATGCAATTGGAAATCATGAGATTTTTTTTTATTTGGGTTTGTTCTCAGTTTTTAAGTGTTTATTCCTGTTTGGTCGACACTTGAGTAGAAGGCAAAAACTTTGTTTGTGTGCCAGAAACTTCATGAAACATGTGGAGGGCACATTTTCTCTGGTCAGTACAAAGTTGTGGCCCCCTACTCAATGTTGTACATCTTTTCACAAGAAGGGTAATCAGGAACAGCCATGTATAACCCAGGAACAGCATCCTGTTGTTCGATGCCACAAGTACACAACCAAATCTGTCTAGACAGATGGCTAGGAGGCCATACTCTAAAAAGAGTTCTGTTCCTGGCTTGAAAGTGTGTGTTCCTGTTTGTTTGTGCAGTGCTGACTCAGGCAGAAGTGGTCCTACCCCATAAACTTTGTTTGTGTGGCAGATACTTCATGAAAAGTCTGGAGGGAGCACAGTTTCTCTGACAAGGACAAAGAATGGAACTTTTGCAATGATTTGCTGCAGTAATTCTCCACATATCCGCATTTTGAGTTGTTTTTTTTAAAAAAAATCCCGAAGTTTCTGCCGAAATTCCTGTGGGCAGCCATCTTGACAGCCTCTAAATCTTGCAACAAAGCATCAAGACTGGAAAATGGAGGCAGAAATCCCGGGACCAACAGGTCTGTATGTGGACCTCTTCTGATGTCCCGGGAATTTTTTCCCTTGTTTAAAATCCGCAATTTAGCGCTGTCTGGAAGCGCCCTATGCCACCCAACAAATTTGCTTAAAGTAGTACCAACTAGCAGCCCTTAAGCTCCTCAAAGATTAACACATTTCAAAAGGGTAAAAATAAGCTCTCCTGGGCAAGTGTCCACTTCATCAGATCATTTGTTCAAGAAGGCTCCAGTCTAATAAAGCCCGTGGCACAACAAATATGTCATGCTAGAAGACTTTTGATTGTTTCATTACAAATAGATTAACATGGCTAGCTGTCTAGACCTAATTATATACTTCAATGTTCTCTGAACACAGTTGCTGTCTCTTTTAAAGGGCTGCCATTCATCCTCTGTCTCTCTTTCTTTGTTTATTCAAAGGTTTGATGATTGAAGGGCTATGTCAGCACATAATCCCTTCTCCACTGTAAAGGTGATGCCATCAAAATATTGGGGTCATGGTGGCTGCCTGGCCATGTTTCCATTTGTTGACTTCACTGGTTCTTTAAGGACATATTTTGTCAGGAGTGGATAAATGAAACCACAAATATCAGTCCCACAGATACGGGGTCATACTAGATTTTCATCATGCCATTTTATGTAATGTTGGCTCTGCCATTAGTTTAAATGAGCTCTGATACCTTGACAGTTTTGACCTTTTAGAGACCATATCCTTTTGGGAAACCAGAAATCTCCCTAGCATTTTGGAAGCTTGACCCTTTTGGTGATAATAATAATAATAATACTTTATTTATACCCCGCTACCATCTCCCCAAGGGACTCGGTGCGGCTTACATGAGGCCGAGCCCACAATACATCAATACAAGCAATAACAGACACAATACTAAGCAATTAAAAATTAATCTCATACACAAATACAAATAGTATAAACATTAAACAAGGTACAGTGTGATTTATTGACATTCACCCTATTTGGAATAATCATAATCCTTTCGTAAAGTATGATATTCCTGAGAAGAGTGATATACTCCCTTGAGTGAATCTTCTCCTTTAGTAGTAAATATCTACTAGTATTCATGCAAGGCAAATTAGGTTTCTCAGTTGTTAGACTGATATACCTGGTTACCTCTCTGAACTGTTAGGAACAAAGATATGCCAATGCACAAAATATATAGCAGATCTTCAGAAGTGTTAGTTTAGTTCTCCAAAAATATCTACTCTCCCATAAAATATATTGCCTTTTAAATCATACTCTCAAGAGGCCAAAATAGGTAGTCTTTGTTCAAAGTGACATAGTTGATTTACTTACAAACTTCATGTATTCGGCATACAGGTACATTTCTTATTGATTGACAGTTTAAACCAGGGGTCCTCAAACTTTTTAAACAGAGGGCCAGGTCACAGTTTTTCAAACTGTTGGAGAGCCAGATTATAATTTTTTAAAAATGAATGAATTCCTATGCACACTGCACATATTATTTGTAGTGCAAAAACACTTAAAAACAATACAATAATTAAAATGAAGATCAAATTTAACAAATATAAACTTATTAGTATTTCAATGGGAAGTGTGGCCTGCTTTTGGCTGATGAGATAGGATTGTTGTTGTTGTGTGCTTTCAAGTCGTTTCAGACTTAGGTTGATCCTGAGCGAGGGCCGGGTAAATGACCTTGGAGGGCCCTATCTGGCCCCCGGGCCTTAGTTTGAGGACCCCAGGTTTAAACAGTAAGTTCTCTACAGCATTCTGTTTCAGTGTCTTCTCTGTTGCATACAGACTAATACTCTCTTCAGGCCGACACATTATTGAACATTGACTCATTCTAGACCAGGGGTCCTCAAACTAAGGCCTGAGGGCCAAATGTGGCCCTTCAAGGTCATTGACCCGGCCCTCACTCAGGGTCAACTAAAGTCTGAAAAAACTTGAAAGCACACAACAACAACTTATCTCATCAGCCAAAAGCAGGCCCACACTTCCCATTGAAATACTAATAAGTTTATATTTGTTAAAATTGTTCTTCATTTTAATTATTGTATTGTTTTAAAGTGTTTTTTGCACTACAAATAAGATATGTGCAGTGTGCATAGGAATTCATTCATGCTTTTTTCAAATTATAATCCGGCTCTCCCAACAGTTTGAGGGACTGTGAACTGGCCCTCTGTTTAAAAAGTTTGAGGACCCCTGATCTAGACTAACTATACACTGTTGACTTTACACAAACACTGACAATTGCATACTGTATTGACTGACTTCTAAACTGTACTGATTTCTAAACTGTACTGCTTCTGATGCAAACTAACTTCTAAAATTGAGTCTATCTGAATAGTCCCAGATCTGGTCACATGGTCTGTAGTCCCTCCCACAACCTCAAACAACATAGAGTTAAGGGAAAACTGCATATCTATCTATCTATCTATCTATCTATCTATCTATCTATCTATCTATCTATCTACCATCCATCCATCCATCCATCCATCCATCCATCCATCCATCTATCTATCTATCTATCCACACACACACACACACAATATAGTAAACAATCTGAGTTATATCCATAACAAACAACTATTGTAGGAAGCTTATAGAAGGTTGCAATTTCTAACAGACAGTGCTGATGAGCAGTGCTGTGAAATTTACTATATTTTAAGGAGACGGTGACAGCCATCTCCTTAAATCCCCTGTCTCCTAAAGAGCAGGGCAGTAATATAATACAAAGAGTGTTTTATCTTTTTGCAGGGCAGTAATTTAATACAAAAAGCAGGATAGAGTTAATTAACTGTCCAGGTATTGCACTAAACCTGTTTGTGGAAAAAAGAGACTATAACAATTCTTTTTCAGAAAGTAAGGAAGTATACTCACTTAATAAACAAATAAAGAATGGTCCACATACCACAATCTCTGTTCAACTTTACTTACCATACAACCACCTCACAGAAAAGGATGCAAAGTGAGACTATGGTGGCAGTCTCATTGGAAACATGTCCATTGTAGATCAAGACAACTGTGAAATTCAACAGCGTAGCTATTGTGATCCAAGTGGCATACAGAGCAATTCCATTTTGCACCTACCATATATAAAATTCAACAGTAAGAGTCTATGGAAAAGGCAACGACGTGAAGTAGTCACCATCATCATCGTTTTATTTCTTACCCACCTCTCCTTGTGGCTCAAAGTGGGTTACAACACTGCTAAAAACACATAATAATCTAAAATATTCTATAAAATACACGTATCAAAATATATTTCTGCAAAACGCATACCTGTATATTCCGGCATATAAGATGACTGGGCGTATAAGACGACCCCCAACTTTTCCAGTTAAAATATAGAGTTTGGGGTATACTCGCCATATAAGACTACCCCTCTTCCAACACACACCAAATAAAAATTTAAAAAGCATCAGATTTGATTTCAATATGGTAATTTTCCTATTACTGTACCTCCTCCTCTGCCTCTCAGATCTTGCACCTGCGCACCTGCGCCACTTCACTGCAATCTTCAGGAGCGAAATCTGAGAGGCAGAGGAGAAGTTCTGGTAATAGGATACAAGGGCAGGCCAGACAGGTAAAAGTGGAGTGTTTTTCTGGGCCCAGAGCCACTCTCTCTCTTTTTTCCATACCCCAGGAAATGGGGTATGGAAAATGGGGGAGGGAAAATGGGGGAGGGAGAGTGGGGGAGACAAGTATTTACTGTGATGGCAAATCAAATGGATTTTTTTTGTGTCAAGAGCAACTTGAGAAACTACAAGTCGCTTCTGGTGTGAGAGAATTGGCCGTCTGCAAGGACGTTGCCCGGGGACACCCAGATGTTTTGATGTTTTATCATCCTTGTGGGAGGCTTCTCTCATGTCCCCGCATGGCATGAGCTGACAGAGGGAGCTCATTCATGCTCCCCCCGGATTCAAACCTCCAACCTATCGGTCTTCAGTCCTGCTGGCACATGGGTTTAAGCCATTGCTCCTATTTTCAAATTGATAAATCTTAAAGAAAGTGGAGAGAAGGATTAGATGTGATGGAGGTAGGAAAATCTTCCATTTAATTTCAAAACAGAGCATGCTGGAGCTTTATGGAAAACCTACCCTCCCAAACACTTGACCTGCTCTGTGGGATGAAATCCTAAATCATTGCCATACAACGTTTGAATATCATTTGCCTGTATTCAGGTCTTTGTAAGGAATCTCAAATGACTGTACCAGAATCCGGATAAGCCAGAGGTCTGCTTTGCTGTTCTTTTGGAACCAAGCTGTGTGAGGGAACAAAGCCCGGTGCGAAATGAAGAGAGCTGCATAGTTTGTGAGGGTGAGAAGTCCCAGGACAAGTAGCGCTGGACTGAAGAGTCTGTAAAGAAAGTAAATATGAGACTAACATATCTTTGTTAGTCTTTATATATTACTGAATATACTTGTATTTAAATCTAAAAACATTAGTAAAAGCATTAGCACAAAGTATTGTCAAAATCACGGCCGGAATTCATGGCCGGAATCACTGGGTTGTTGTAGGTTTTTTTCGGGCTATATGGCCATGTTCTAGAGGCATTATCTCCTGACGTTTCGCCTGCATCTATGGCAAGCATCCTCAGAGGTAGTGAGTCAGGCGAAACATCAGGAGAGAATGCCTCTAGAATATGGCCATATAGCCCGAAAAAACCTACAACAACCCATTAGCACAAAACACCCAGGTTGACTTATCCATGGGTCAAAGTAAGTACAGACACACAAGTAACCACATACAGGCAGTCCTCGAGTTACAAACATCCAACTTACAAACAACTCATAATTAGGAACAGAGGTGAGACAACAGGAAGTGAGGGAAATCTACGCCTTGAGTTATTATGGGGAAAATATGTCTCTACTGAAGCTTTAGCACCAATCATTATTTCCACAACGAGTCAATTTTTTCAAAATCCAATTGTCACAGGGACAGAAAGTGAGGTGAAATCTTCTGAATAGGGGCACAGACAGTAAAGCAAACACCACAGGGGTGTTAACCCTTCCCTATACTATCGAAAACTACAAATACATATATTTTGGCTGAAGTTACACTTTAAGAAATGTACCTGTTTCAACTTACATACAAATTTGACTTAAGAACAACCACAAACCAGGCATGTAGCCGGGGGGGGGGGGCTTGAGGGGCTTCGCCCCCCCCCCCCCAGCCCCCCCCCCCCCCGAAATTCTCATGGTGGTTCGCGAAAAGGCCTTACTGGTGCATTATTTAAACTGTTATGTTTATTCATATCATGATCTGATCACCATACTCAATATATCCCATATGCATGGGGGTATTGGGGTAATGATACAAAAGGTTTGCTAGGCTAGACCCTCTTTCACTCAGACTCAGCCCCCCCCCCAAAACTCACCCCCCCAAAACCCCCTGAAAAAATCCCCCCCCCCCGAAATGAAATCCTGGCTACGGGCCTGTTGGGAGCCAAGGTCTGGGGTAACGATACAAAAGTTTTGCTAGGATAGATCCCCACCCCCCCCCCCCAAATCAAACCCCCCCCCCCCCCAATCAAAATTCTGGATACAGGCCTTGATACGGGCTTGTCTGTATCATCTCTTAACTCTTCCCCTTCCCTGACTACCTTCCCCTTCCTTGAGTAGAGTCATGGACCTTCCCCTTCCCTATATAGAGTCTATCCTGGGAGAACATAAAAGAAGCACTGATCCCCCCTATTGTCTTTCCTCTGGTGCAGCTTTCATCTTTTCTTTGAAGGCCTGGGTAGGGAAATTGTTACAGCGGCCAAGGACGGTTGGCCCCAGGATAGCATTGGTGCTTTCCCCTCTCTGTGGAATAAACCTTGACTTATCCACAGATCATACCTAACTTTGACTGCAAGTCAAGAGATTCACTTATCTGCAGTTTATTGTAATTCACCAACAGATATCTCAAAATACTAAATCATTATTTTTGGCATGACACAACATTTAAGAAATTCCCATTAATTCAATGGGTTTATTATCCAACTGAAACTAAGGGTTCTTCCACACAGCCATATAACCCAGAATATCATGGCAGAAAACCCCACATTATCTGCTTTGAATTGGGTTGTCTGAGTCCACACTGCCATATATTCCAGTTCAAAGCAGAAAATGTGGGATTTTATTCAGCTGCGTGGAAAGGGCCTTGAAGGCTATAATAAAATATGTTGGTTTGTTTGTTTTTCAAAATGTCATGCTATCAGCTCTTGTGTTTGACACACAAATAGGACAGCATCATCTTATCAGAGCTTCAGATGTTGCAAGATAACTAAGCCAGTTGACTGGAATTATGGGAGTTGTATCCCAATGCATTCAGTAGTCACCAGGTCAGAGAATACTATATTAAATGGACTATGAAATACCTTGGGGTGAGATCATCCGGAGTTTCGGGGTGCGGTGTTATCTATACGCAGATGATGTCCAACTCTGTCACTCCTTTCCACCCACTACTAAGGAGGCTGTTCAGGTCCTGAACCGGTGCTTGGCTGCTGTGTCGGACTGGATGAGGGCGAACAAATTGAAAGAATCCAGACAAGACAGAGGTACTCCTGGTCAGTCGTAAGGCCGAACAGGGTATAGGGTTACAGCCTGTGCTGGACGGGGTCGCACTCCCCCTGAAGACGCAGGTTCGCAGCTTGGGTGTGACCCTGGATTCTTCGCTAAGCTTGGAACCCCAGGTTTCAGCGGTTTCCAGGGGAGCATTTGCACAATTAAAACTTGTGCGCCAGCTGCGCCCGTATCTTGGGAAGTCTGACTTGGCCACGGTAGTCCATGCTCTCGTCACATCCCGCATAGATTACTGCAACGCGCTCTACGTGGGGCTGCCCTTGAAGACTGCCCGGAAGCTTCAGATGGTCCAGCGTCTCGGCAGCCAGGTTGCTAACGGGAGCGGCACTCAGGGAGCACACCACTCCTCTGTTGAGCCAGCTCCACTGGCTGCCAATTTGCTACCGGGCACAATTCAAGGTGCTGGCTTTAGCCTATAAAGCCCTACACGGTTCCGGCCCCACTTACCTCTCCGAACGCATCTCCACCTATGAACCGGTGAGGACGTTAAGATCGTCCGGGGAGGCCCTGCTCTCGGTCCCGCCAGCGTCACAAGCGCGGTTGGCGGGGACGAGAGACAGGGCCTTCTCGGTGGTGGCCCCTCGGCTATGGAATGCCCTACCTGCGGACATCAGGCAGGCCCCTTCGTTGCTGGTGTTTCGGAGGAGGGTCAAGACGTGGCTCTATGAACAGGCGTTCGGCTGATAATGCAACTGAACTCATGAAGACGGCATAATTGAACAAGGAACGGTAGAAGGATTATGAGAACAGGATCTGATTTCAATGAGGCGTTGATGATTATGTGTGTGTCGTCTGTGTTGATGTGTTTTAAATTATTGTCACTGTTACATAAATTGTACTGTAAACCGCATTGAGTCGCCAAATAGGCTGATAAATGCGGTATAAAAGCGAAGCAAATAAATAAATAAATACTATTCATTTCATTTTTTTAAAAAAAACCTTTGAATTATTATAATGTAATGCAAAAATATAATAATAATAATATAGTATAATTATATATTTATATTACATGTAATATTACTAATAATATTACAATATAATTGGTATGGTACAATATAGCAATGCTTAGTGCTGATGTTGTACTATGCTAATAATATAGTGTATTGTATGTATATTTATTTATTTAAAACTTTTATATCCTGATCGTAGAGGGACTCAGACCAGCTTACAGCAAGGATTAAATGCTAACAGTACAATCTAAAAACATATAATAACGAGTTAAAATACATATCAATTAAAATTACAAATAATGACATATAAGATAAAATCATGTCCAACTCAGTCCGTATGTGTGGTCGATAACTTTGTTCTGTAGCCGGTTTCAACCATTACTCTGGGAATGTTTCCTTCCATAGCCAGGATTTCACCAGCCTCCTGAAGGACAGGAGGGAGGGGGCAGATCTGATCTCAATCGGGAGAGAGTTCCATAGCCGAGGGGCCACCACAGAAAAGGCCCTGTCTCTCATTCCCGCCAGATGCGATTGCGAAAGTACCTTGTAAGCCACTCTGAGTCCCCTTCAGGGTGAGAAGGGCGGCATATAAATGTCGTAAATAAATAAATAAATAAATAAATAAATAAATATGTTAAAAAAACCTTTCAACTAGAATTAACCAGCAATCCCTTTGGGAGGAGGCTAGGCAATCTGAAATGATACACATTTCAACTTACAAGGAATCCCACAGAAATAGCCATCCGATGTTTAAAGCATTGTTCAGCATCCATGTCCAGTAAAATGGGAGTGGCAGCACATCTGGCCACATGTAGACCCAACCAAGTTCATTCCTGACAATATATTAAGAAAAACAATTCTGTGAGAACTGCACAGACCATTGGATTATGTTCCAACATTCCCGATTCTACAGGTTTTGACCAATGAGTACCTTCTGCAGAGACCAGACAGGGCATAGCCCAGCCAGGCATATTGCCATAGAAAGATAACGTTCCAAACGAAGAAGGCCCAGGATGCTGGTGTGAAGTTTGTGTCATGGTGGCGTGAGATATTTCCAACTGTGGTATGAAACACACCTGTAGCAATTAATATCAGTAGACAGTTATGCATTGACTCCAGAACTGTGGCACATTACAAGACTCCAGGAAGGTGGCCTTGGATCAGTTCCAGTATTTGCAGCTTGACAATCATAGAAAATGTGCCCCCCCCCCCCAATTTCTTTCTTATATAGACATACATAGAATCATAGAATCAAAGAGTTGGAAGAGACCTCATGGGCCATCCAGTCCAACCCCCTGCCAAGAAGCAGGAATATTGCATTCAAATCACCCCTGACAGATGGCCATCCAGCCTCTGTTTAAAAGCTTCCAAAGAAGGATCCTCCACCACACTCCGGGGCAGAGAGTTCCACTGCTGAACTGCTCTCACAGTCAGGAAGTTCTTCCTCATGTTCAGATGGAATCTCCTCTCTTGTAGTTTGAAGCCATTGTTCCGCGTCCTAGTCTCCAAGGAAGCAGAAAACAAGCTTGCTCCCTCCTCCCTGTGGCTTCCTCTCACATATTTATACATGGCTATCATTATCTCCTCTCAGCCTTCTCTTCTTCATGCTAAACATGCCCAGCTCCTTAAGCCGCTCCTCATAGGGCTTGTTCTCCAGACCCTTGATCATTTTAGTCGCCCTCCTCTGGACACATTCCAGCTTGTCAATATCTCTCTTGAATTGTGGTGCGCAGAATTGGACACAATATTCCAGGTGTGGTCTAACCAAAGCAGAATAGAGGGGTAACATTACTTCCCTAGATCTAGACACTATGCTCCTATTGATGCAGGCCAAAATCCCATTGGCTTTTTTTGCCGCCACATCACATTGTTGGCTCATGTTTAACTTGTTGTCCACGAGGACTCCAAGATCTTTTTCACACGTACTGCTCTCGAGCCAGGCATTGTCCCCCATTCTGTATCTTTGCATTCGTTTTTCCTGCCAAAGTGGAGTATCTTGCATTTGTCACTGTTGAACTTCATTTTGTTAGTTTTGGCCCATCTCTCTAATCTGTCAAAGATCGTTTTGAATCCTGCTCCTGTCCTCTGGAGTATTGGCTATCCCTCCCAATTTGGTGTCGTCTGCAAACTTGATGATCATGCCTTCTAGCCCTTCATCTAAGTCATTAATAAAGATGTTGAACAGGACCGGGCCCAGGACGGGACCCTGCTTGTGGCACTCCACTCGTCACTTCTTTCCAAGATGAAGAGGAGGCATTGGTGAGCACGCTCTGGGTTCGTCCATTTAACTTGAGCTCTAGAAGCACACAATGTGGAAAAAAGATGCAGGTGGGGGTGCAGTATAGCTGCTGCTACCTTTAAACTGCATTATATGGTCAGTGCAGATGTGTCCCCTCAGACTTCTTTATAATGCTAGCCTGTTCTGATGTTCGCAGAACATCTTCTATAACCACTACAATTTCAGTGTAAAAGCATGCATTAATATTTGTTGTGCATTTCTGGACTTCACCTCTGAATGCCCCTGAACCAGCTCCTGCATTCATCACTATCATTATTGTGTAGATAACCACTGTCAGTAGCATAAAGAAAATCTTCAGCATGTTGTGGGTAGGCATCCTTAAAGCTGGAAAAGAGAAAGTCAGATAAATATTCAGAGCAAGTTTAGGGCTTATGCAATCCGCGTGAAGAGTGCATGTATGATCTGTACCAATATCATAGAAGCAGCATTAGAAGATAATATATATGCCCCACATAACTCTCATTTTTATCCATTTGGATGCAACCAAATTTATGAACATACCAAAGCATGCATTTTAAAAATATCCTTACATACATCTTACACAGACACTCCATGTATCTGGAGAGGCCCTGCTCTCGCTCCCGCCCTCTTCGCAGGCACGATTGGTGGGGACGAGGGAGAGGGCCTACTCTGTGGTGGCCCCCCGACTCTGGAATTCACTTCCTAAGGATATCAGGCAAGCCCCACATTGGCAGTCTTTAGGAGGAGCCTGAAAACATGGCTTCCCTGAATAAGGAAATAATTTCCAGCAAATGTCCTCAGAAGCACTTTAACTACTCATTGGATTGCTCTCTCTTCATGTCTTTTAAAGCCCTCCTACCAGATACATCCTTCCTCTGTTCATGCCCAGCGTTTATTTTTTAAATTTTAAACTATTACATCTGGCCCGGCCATAGGTTTTTTGAATCCTTGCGTGTTATTGTTTATATGTGAGTTATATTAATTGTATTGTTTTTGCTTATTGCTTTTTGTTTTATTGATGTGTTGTCGGGCTTAGCCTCATGTAAGCCGCTCCGAGTCCCCTTGGGGAGATGGTGGCGGGGTATAAATAAAGATTATTATTATTATTATTATTATTATTATTATTATTATTATTTATCAGAAAGTAATAATAATAATAATGCACTTTATTTATATTCTGCTTTATGGCTCCGGAGGGACTCAGAGCGGATTACAATACATATATGACGCAAACATACAGTGGCTCTTTACACACACTGTGCTGTCACACGCTGGGCCTGTGCATAAGACTGTAGACAGGACATAAATTCTGTGTGCCCAACGGGGCTGCCTCAGATTAAAAGCCTTTGGATTTCCTTCTGGCTTCCCTGAGTGACCCTTACCAGGCAGAGCTTTGTAGACTTCCAGGGGAAAAAGAATTCAGGTTTCCGTGATGGCTGACTGAAGGCCTTCAGCAAAGGAGCTGTAGGGCTGTATAACCCCGGCCAAGCTGTGGGCTGTATATCTCCCCAGCCAAGCCGTAGAAGACGAAGCTTTCTACAGGAGCTCTTGGTATTATGTCCTGCATGGAAGGCTTCTCTGTGTGGACTGAACCCAAATTGGCTCCTATTCCCTCCAAAACCCAAAAAAGGGGGTGGGACCAGGGAACCTAACTATAATTGACAGGTGGCTTGCCCTATGATTGCAGCCAAAAGAAGCCACCTATCTGCAGAGTCCCTGAAACTTAAGACTACAACAAACATTCAGTGCAAAGCAAACAAAATTGGAGCTCCTGGTGCAGTTGTACCTGCACACACACAGTGAACAATGACAGACAACAGAGACAAAGCTTTTTCCATCTCTGGAGCCTGAAGGTTATGCTCAGCTCCGGCCATGGGGAGGCACTCTTGTTCTATTTTTCCATGTTGAGGAGATTGCTGTCCATGGACATCTCCGACTGTGTTGCTGGCATGTCTGTATGTCTGCATGTGTGCATGGGGCACCTTTATACCTTCCCGCCGAGGTGATACCTATTGATCTACTTGCATAGCATGCTTTCAAACTGCTAGGGTGGCAGGAGCTAGGACTGACACTCGAGAGCCCACCCTGACTTGCAGCTTTGAACTGCCAAACTTCCGGTCAGCAGCTTTCTTGCAGTTTAATCCACTGTGCTACTGTTGCCCTTGTTTATTCACCATTAAGTTGGCAAATCCGGATAAAAAATCAAATGTGATTGTGGAGAATTAACATTCAATTTTATTTAAACATGGGCTAACACTGAACATTAATGGCAAGGTTTGGATCAACCTGCATTATTTGTCTAATATGATGAGGACCTGAGCCTCTAGTGCTCTAGGAACTTGGGCCTACAACTGTCACAATCCTTTAACATGCTGTTGTACAGGTATCCTCAAACTTTTTAAACAGAGGGCCAGGTCACAGTCCCTCAAACTGTTGGAGGGCCAGATTATAATTTGAAAAAAATATGAATGAATTCCTATGCACACGGCACATATCTTATTTGTAATGCAAAACAACACTTAAATAGAATAGAATAATTAAAATGAAGAACAATTTTAACAAATATAAACTTATTAGTATTTCAATGATAAGTATGGGCTTGCTTTCGGCTGGTGAGATAGGATTGTTGTTATTATTGTGTGCTTTCAAGTCGTTTCAGACTTAAGTTGACCCTGAGCGAGGGCTGGGTAAATAACCTTAGAGGGCCGTATCCGGCCCCCAGGCCATAGTTTGAGGACTCCTGCTGTAGTAGGTTCGTGGGGGCTGTAGAAATATTTATTTTAACTCTCTTCCTCATCCTAAAATAAATAACAAACTTTATCTCTGGAATTAAAAAATATAGATGTAGAACTCAGTTGATGACACTATTTAATTCTCTTTTGTGAACGGATATGGCCTGATGGAACAAATGTCAGCTGCTCACATGTCAATGAATGGTTATTTTGTGCTTTGTTCCTGGATTAAAACACTGTCTAACACAACATAGGGATGTCAAGAGGAGGAATTTGCTTTCTGTCCCAATGCAACAAAGTGAGATTTTGTTCAATCATGCAATTGCAAGAAAAGACCTATTATGCTCCCTGCTTCAGTCCTGATCCAAAAGCCTTATTTCAGAGAACACAACAGCAAAAAGGATATAGATACTTACATGATTCTTATCCAAATCTCCTATTTGTCATCTTACTTCAGCAGACTTGTTCTATTACAGAACAGAACAACTCTGCTGAAGTAAGATGACAGATAGTATCTTGATAGACATCATCTTTGCAGAATACCAAGTTGCAATTTTTGTGTTTTGTTTGTATGTTTGTTTATTTTTAATGCAATACAACTGTTTTGGTTCGCTCCTGACACAATAAATATATATATAGCAGAGTTGTTATTCAGCTACAACAGTAAAGCAGCGCTGAGAATCCCAGAGCGCATATACTGTTGAATTCTTGCACTTTGTCACAACTTTAACTCTTTTTTTTTTGTCATGTCAGGAGCAAGTCGCTTCTGGTGTGAGAGAATTGGCCGTCTGCAAGGACGTTGCCCAGGGGACGCCTGGATGATTTGATGTTTTTATCATCCTTGTGGGAGGTTTCTCTCATGTCCCCGCATGAGGAGCTGGAGCTGATAGAGGGAGCTCATCCGCCTCTCCCCGGATTCGAACCTGCAACCTGTCGGTCTTCAGTCCTGCCGGCACAGGGGTTTAACCCACTGCGCCACCGAGGGGGTCCTACAACTTTAACTGACATTGCTCAATAATACAGAATCATGGGAGTTGTAGTTTTATAAAGTCTTTAGCCTTCTCTGCCAGAGACTGCTGGTGCTTCGACAAACTACAAACTACATTAGTTCCACAGTGTACAGCCTGCCTCAGTTTGCACAAATTTGCTGCGGTATATTTGAAAACTTTTCTGCCCAACAATAATCTCACTGAGTAGCTCAGTAAATACTATATGTGCAGATTTGGAAAGGAAATGTGGTTTCTGGCAACAAAGGAAACAGGAGCACCCGCTTTCTTTCCTCCTCTCTCTTGGCAGTAGAGTTACGTATGTTACAACATTTTTGAAAAGCATATTTCAATGCAGGACGAGAGATGCAAATGTTACTCACACCCTTTCACAATTGTCTCACTGTGATGAGTTGATCTCTATGAATTGTTCCGCTTGGAAAAAGAGAAGAATATGTGCAACGTTGGGAACGATCTGTGGCATTTCTTCCATAAATATCCTGTTGAGAAGCTGCTTCTTGTACCACATGGCATTTATTCAAGTCTCTGATTGGCTGGAACATCTGGGAAGCAACAGAAGAGATGATGCAACAAACATGTAGTTACTTAACTCCTGATGCATCACACACATTTTAAAAACTGCTTCTTTTATTATATTTTTTCTCGTGCAAATATAATGAATTACTGTCGAGAAAAAATGGTTCTGTTAATGGTTACTAACTGACTTTTACATGGAAAGATACAAAAGGTCAGACTTGGATACAGTAAGCCTATAGAACTCAAGTTTTAAATTTTCCTATTTGTCATTTTCTCAGGGGGGCATTATACTTCCACTGTTAATGGGTTTTTTTCTCCTTTTTTTGGAAGGAACACTCTGTTCCTGTTGGAGATATTGCTTGCCAGAACCCACTCCTTTCTCTCGCTCTTTCTCGGTGGAATGTGACTTTTATAGTTTACTGGGACATGTGGAAAGCAATGTAATTCCATTCTAAAATAGCTTTTCCTCTATATTTGTAGAATCATAGACTTATTTATCTACCAAAGCAAGTTACACACGTTAACCCAGGGGTCCTCAAACTTTTTAAACCGGGGGCCAGTTCACTGTCCCTCAGACTGTTGGAGGGCCGGACTATAGTTTTTTTTTTTTAAAAAAAATTCATTAAAAAAAATCCTATGCACATTACACATATATTATTTTGCTGTGTGGAAGGGCCCTTAGAAGGGGTTCTTTCTAGTCCTCTTTAAGGCAGTAATGCCAGGAGCAGAGAATGGGAAATCTTCCTATTTCTAGTCTGAACAAAATCTGGCTACCAGTATTAAAAAAAACTCTAAAATTATAACTGTAAATAAAGAACAACACTCAAACACAGGGGAACTCCAGACAAGAAACAATCAGGGCCAGCTAATCACCTCTCAACAAAGGATTCTCCCTAAAAACTGTCAGGCAGGTCATCACGTGCGAGTAGGCCGCGCGGAGCAGCTGCCCTTGGCTGGCTATACGCTGCCCATCGGGCCTGACGGAGCGTGGAGCAGCTGTCCTTGGCTGGCTCATGCCTACTCGCGTGTAAAGCGTCTCGTGAGGTGCTTTATGCACAAGTAGGCCACGCAGAGCAGCTGCCCTTGGCTGGCTCACGCTGCCCATCGGGCCTGACGGATAGCGTGAGCCAGCCAAGGGAGGGGCACTGTGTGGGGGGGGGAGGCGCTCCTCCTCCGTGGGCCGGATAAATGCCCTTGGCGGGCCAGAAGTGGCCTGTGGGCCGTACTTTGAAGACCCCTGCGTTAACCTATGCATTCCTGCGTATAGTGTTCCTCATTGGTACATATAGTGAAGTCCTAGGGCACATCTATATGGTCACTGAAAACTGGGGCTGGTCCAGAGCATTGTTACTTTGGACCGACCCTGTGTTGCTGGTACGGCTGTACCAAAAGCTCCAACTTCCTTTTCTTTCTTTGAGTGTTTGCATGTATTCCAAAGTTCCATGCATTTTGCAATAAGGTGGCTTCCCTTGGTTTGCAATTATAGGGCCAATGACCCATCAATCATTGTTAAGTTTTATTCCGCCCCTTTCCCCAGGGCTCTGGGAGGAGAGGGAGCCATTTTAGGTCAGTCTTGCATTGGAAAGCTTAGCTATAGGACGTGGATTAGCTCCACCTGTAGAGAAGCTTCGTTTCCCGGGAAATTTCGGGGGGGGGGGGTTCCAAAGGACTCCAGCTGGAGAATCTACAAAGCCTTGACTGGTAGGTCTACTCGGGACCCAAGAAGCAGTTTGGAGCCAGGAGTAGAGCCCACACCAGCAAAGTTTAGAAAGTAGATTGCCCAAGGAGGGGTTAAAAAGGATTTTCCTCTTAAAGAAAAGAAACAGTTCACGAAGCCAGTTGCCTGTCCCTTGTGGACAAGATTAAGAAAGCCACCAGTTGATTCAAAGCCTTGAAGCATTTATTTAATTTGTTGAAGATCTAAGAAGTATTTGATTGATTGTTGAAGACTTAAGCAATAATAAAGGACTTTGTTAAACCTTTCAAGCTTCTAAAGACTCTGTATAGGAAAATCCTTAGGGCCTCTCAGCCAAAGAGCTGGTTGTCCGTAGACACCTCCAAGGTCATGTGGCCAGCATGACTGCATGGAGCAGCTCAGTGCCTCCCGCAGAAGCGTACCTATTGATCTACTCACATTTGCATGTTTTCGAACTGCTAGGTTGGCAGAAGCTAGGGCTGACAGCGGAAGCTCACGCCGCTCCCCGGAATTGAACCTGCGACCTTTCGATCAACAAGCTCAGCAGCTCAGTGCTTTAACCCACTGCGCCACCGTGGGCTTTTGTTGAAGATCTAAGCACTAATAAAAGACTTTGTTAAACTTTTCAAGCATCTAAAGACTTTTGTATAGGAAAATCCTTAGGCCTCTCACTCGAGGCACCCCGGCTTCCAGCTGGGCATAAAGAGCACGTCCTGTTAAAAGCCAATTGCTATAGGCCCAGCGCATGACAGCACAGACCCCAAATTCAGCTGAACCCCTGTGCTGTGCAAGTGATAGGAGCGGTGTCCAGATATGGTTTAGCCCTGCTGGATAGTTACCCGTACCTGAGTGGCAAGTTAAAACCCAGCACCTCAATCAGTGGCTGAGACTAGATGAGAAACTCCCTCCCGGGCACACAGAAAAGTGGATGACCTGGAAGGCACTGAATAGGCTGCACTCTGGCACCACGAGATGCAGAGCTAACCTTAAGAAATGGGGCTCCAAAGTGGGGTCCACGGCATGCGAGTGCGGAGAAGAGCAAACCACAGACCACCTATTACAATGCAACCTGAGCCCTGCCACATGCACAGTGAAGGACCTTCTCACAGCAACACCAGAGGCACTCCAAGTGGCCAGCTTCTGGTCAAAGGACATTTAGCATAATGCCAAGTTTTTAAAACTTTGTGTTTTGAAATGCATTTTAACTGTACCTTCAACTTGCTTCTGACATGATAAATAAATAACCCTTACCTGGATTGTTGTATTTGTTGCCATGATAGCCAGCTTTGGAGAACTCTCTGCCACCGCCAGGAACCTTTGCTGATATCAGCAAAGGCACACCCTTAACCAAGGAGAAGAAAACAGGGATTACCCTCTCCTTTTCTGTGGTCACTCGGGCACCTTTGCTAATGTCAGCCAAGGTGCCCAGCTACTTTGGTGACAGGATCAACAGAACCAAACAAAAAAATAGTTACGGTACCAAGAGTCCCTCCCTTCAAGGAGTGCCTGCATTAGACCAAATTCCCCTTCCCATACACAGTGGAGTATTTCTCTTAAGAAGCCATCTATATAAATAAAAATGTAATGTTCGTTTGTGGGATTAACAGAACTCAAAAACCATTGGATGAATTGACACCAAATTTGGACACAAGACACCTAACAACCCAATGTATGTCCTTCACTCAAAAAAATGATTTTGTCATTTGGGAGTTGTAGTTGCTGGGATTTATAGTTCACCTACAATCAAAGAGCATTCTGAACCCCATCAACGATGGAATTGAACCAAACTTGGCACACAGTTCTCCCATGACCAACAGAAAATACTGGAAGGGTTTGGAGGGCAGTGTTCTTTGGTTTTGGAATTGTAGTTCACCTACATCCAGGGATCACTGTGGACTCAAACAATGATGGATCTGGACCAAACTTGGCACAAATATTCCATATGCCCAACTAGGAACACAGATGGAGTTTGGGGGAAATAGACCTTGACATTTGGGAGTTGTAGTTACTGGGATTTATAGTTCACCTACAATCAAAGAGCATTCTGAACCCCACCTATGATAGAATTGGGCCAAACCTCCGACACAGAACCCCCATGTGGGCCACAGCAATGTGTGGCAGGGGACAGCTAGTCTATATAAATAAAAATGTAATGTTCCTTTGTGGGATTAACATAACTGAAAAACTACTGGGCGAATTGACACCATATTTGCATACAATACACCTCTCAGGCCAATAAGTGACCATCACTCATAGAAACACTGAAAAACACAATGGAAGAGACTTAAAAAGCAAAAAAAATTCAACATATGGGCAAAACCACATATATACACATTTACACACACACACACACACAAAACACATATACACAGACTGGGCCACAGCAACACATGGCAGGGGGTGACTAGTTGTACTATAAGACCTGAGGATAATGTTAGATGCCAGGTTTTGTTTTGTTTTTGTCATGTCAGGAGTGACTTGAGAAGCTGCAAGTCGCTTCTGGTGTGAGAGAATTGGCCGTCTGCAAGGATGTTGCCCAGGGGACGCCCAGATGTTTTTGATGTTTTATCATCCTTGTGGGAGGCTTCTCTCATGTCCCTGCGTGAGGAGCTGGAGCTGATAGTGGGAGCTCATCCGCCTCTCCCTGGATTTGAACCTGACCTGTCGTTCTTCAGTCCTGTCGGCACAGGGGTTTAACTCACTGCGCCACCAGAAATGTCACCTTTAACACATGTGCTGACACCATGAAGGCATTCTCTTTGGCTGGATCTACACTGCTATATAATCCAGTTTCTGAATCCAGATTATCTGCTTTCAATTGGATTATATGAGTACACTGCCATATTTTTTTTTTGTCATGTCAGAATCCTGTTGTGAGAGAATTGGCCGTCTGCAAGGACGTTGCCCAGGGGACCCAGATGATTTGATGTTTTATCATCCTTGTGGTAGGCTTCTCTCATGTCCCCGCATGAGGAGCTGGAGCTGATAGAGGGAGCTCATCCGCCTCTCCCCAGATTCGAACCTGCGACCTGAACAGTCCTGACAACACAGGGGTTTAACCCACTGCGCCACCGGGGGCTCCATACTGCCACATAATCCAGTTAGTTGCAGATAATATGGATTCAGAAACTGGATTATATGCTAGTGTAGATGGGGACTTTGTCAGCAAAAAGCACATTTATTATTTTTGGCTTTTGAAAGTAATATATTTAAAGGATATTCAAGTGAACAGTTTCTCTGCATGTTTTCTGAAAAAATCATGATGCATTCTATATTTCTTCATTCTTATTAACTTTTCTC